GACTCATTGAAGCTCGGAAACGTCGTATCCTTGCGTTCGCGGCGTTTCCACCATTCAAACGTCGAATCTCGACGTGCGAAGCGCGGAACCGCCGGATCCGAGCGCCCGCGACGTTCCCCACCGCTCCGAATAGTGACTTTTCAAAATTGGCGATATCTCGAGAACTAAGCATCGGAGAGAGCTCGGAGTTGTACAGGGCCGCATAATCGGTCGTAAAAGTTAAAATTTTGAATAGTGAAAATTTTGTTTAAAATTTAAATAAATTAATAATTAGTTAATTAATTGATTTTTGGGTCGGTTGAACTCGTTATAGGCCCGGAAATATTGTTAGGCTAATCTGGGATTTATTGTCGAATTTTTTGTTTATAACAAATTTTGAAAATTTAAATTTTGACTATCAAGGTCAATTGATTTTTAGTTATTCGTGTTCGCGAGGTTTTGCCGTTTAATTTAATATAAGGGAGTATGCAGTTTACTCTTATAGGAAAGAAGTTATTCAATTGTTAATCAGCATTGGCTAAGTTAACAATGTCGTCCGGTTCTTATTCTTGAAAATTTTGATACGCTATCTTGTAGTGCTTGCTTTACTGTGTATCCTCACAAAATTTGGTTCCTTGATCTCTATTCCTTGTATTTTAAATTAAATTTAGAAGTTTAGCACTGTGAGACAATGACAGACAACACGGGGTTTGCATAAGAGCCCCTTACGTTAGACGAACATCGACCGATATTCAATCTTTCAAAAATTTATATCTTTCAAACGGTAAGAGATACGACTGTTGGTCTTATTACGAAAGTTATTTGGCCTCTTCCAACCTATCAATTAATCAAATAAAATCTTATGGTTAATTATAACCAATTATTTCAAGAGTACTGAGGAATGATATATCCTTTAAACGTTTATAACTTCTAAATGAAAGGAGTTACGACTATGGTTCCCATTATGAAAGATGCTTAGTTTTTTGTGAGCTATTGATTAGTCAAATAAAATATTATAGTTAATTGTCATTAATTATTTTGAAAGAAAACTGAGGATGCATTAATCTTGAAAAATCAATAACTTCCAAACGGTAACAGTTACGACAACCGTTCTTATAGTCGAATTGATTTATTTCCTCTAGACTGTTGATTCATGAAATAAAATACTATTGTTAATTATGAAAATTATTTTAACGTTTTAGTAATC